TGAAGTCTTTCTTATTCATTAATATACTTCATTTTTTAAAAGTAACTGAAGTTGAAAATGCTTTATCCATAGAAACAATGTAGTGTTGTACTATCTTGGAGTGAGATATGTATTATCTAATTCTGTGTGACCTTGATAAGTACAGTTGGCCTTGGTTCTTCTGCTGTGACTTCTCCCCCTATGGTTGTTCTGTCCTAGCAGTGGACACTGCAGCTGTCTCCATGGGGGCCTTTCCCAGGGGTGTGCTGAGAGCTTCCACTGTGGTCATTAGCAGCAGTGCTGATAGAAGTCACTCTGATATTTTCACGGATTTGCTGACTGCAGGTAAAGGGGCCTGTTATTACCCTGGTCACTTGTAAAAAGCGTCTGTCTACGTGGCTCCCCCTTTCATAGTATCTAAGAAGAAGGTGGTGCTCCTGTGTGTTCTTTACTGCTAAATCAGTTTGATTTGAGTTTAAAAATTTGTTTCCTGGAAAGGGAGCCACATGCAGAAGGCCCAGGTTAATAATGTGGGCTTTGCTGCTGATCTCAAAGCAGAAATGATAGATTACTGGCTAGTTGATTTGTTTGCAAATAGAAAGTAATTGAGGTGTTTCTAACAGTAGCTTTGTATCCCTTCCTTGTGTGTGCCTGCTCTGGTCCAAGGTACCCCCTGAGGCTTGATGGCGGCTAGATCAAGGGAGTAGGCCCACACTGGACACATACTTGCTTTGTGACTGAGTAGCATTTGCAGTCTTATCCTTTTCCTCCCAGTTAGGAGCAGTAGTCTACCCTAGTTGGTCTGACTCTCTTGTTTTGCACGGTGGTATCAGATTCAACTCCTGAAACCAAACAGGGAATGAGGTGAGGTACTGGTCATTTATCACATTGCTAGACTCCAGCTAACATTGGAATGAATTTAAAAGTTCAAAAACACTTCAGGTGGACGACACCCACCCCATCATCAGCCCCTCCCACCAAGGGCCATCCAGGGAACTTCGGTGTTTCAGTGGCTGCCTCTAGGGGCATTAAGAACTCCTCCCTATGGTAGAAGCACAGCAGTGAGAGCACTGATTTTTACTAGTGAATAATTAAAAAGCACTATTAACAGTCAGGCTTATAAATATGTAAAAAGTATTTTCATTGTTTTTAACAAAAGAGGCAAGATGTCAGTATTGCTAGAAAGTTCCCAGATACTGTTTACATGCACCATGGTCAAGAGCTGTCTGCAGACTCCAAAACACATCCAGGCAGGTGCCCTTGTGTCCTGTGATGGACAGGTACCGTGACCATATTGATAGTGTGAGGTGAGCACTAGAAATTTGTGTTGAACTTTGACTTTTAAGTATTCATTGGAGGTGATTATGGTTTTTCTGACTCAATGAATTGTTTCTGTGTGCACGTTGGCAGTTTGTTTTCTATTTATTTATTGTAAGCTTCATAATATCATGTCAGCTTTCTCCTATGTGGTGGAGTGACGTTTAAAGGTCTCCAGAGGCCTTTATCACACTTTTCAGTTCCTTCTTCACCTGAGGCAGGTGGAGAGGCATCCTCTACAGGACTGCTGTGGGAAAGCAAATGTTTGGTTCATTTTGGGCAGTCCTACTATTTTCCCTCCTGTCTCCTGGGGGAAGCTCAATTACTCTGGACCAGTGAACTGTGATCCTTCTTAATGAGAGGTGGCCTCAACTCTATTTTTCCAAAGAAAGCAAGCCAAAAACTGACTGCTCTCACTGTCTGCCATGATGAAATGATGGTTAGGCAAGGATGTACCAGAATCGACAGGCATGCTGTCAGGATCCACAGTAAGCCTTCTTGGATTATGAATATGTACCTAATGGCACAAGAATACACTGTGTTCAGGTACATGCAGCTTTAGGACCCGCTGACGGTGTGCCATGACATGTGTCCTGGGGCCTGGGATGAGGAAGTTCCTGAGGTCAAAGACGGGTGTCACTGAGGTAAGACCTGGGGGTCCACTGTCAGGCCATGTAACATGCAACCTCTTCCATACTCTGGCTTTTGATTGACAACAAAGATACTGTGTGCTGAGTTCTGGACCCACCTGAACCCATCTCTGGAACAATGGAATCCCTTTCCCACAGGCAGCCTTTGTTGCATCTTTCTTGGGGCTGTGTTCACTCACCAGGTCCCCACATACAAGGTCCCATCATGGGTCTGTTGATTTGAGTTGCTTGCAATGGGTGGTGGTCAATATGCTGGGCTGGAGGCCCAGCTGAAGTTCTGTGGCTTTATCAGACACTCATGCACTCATGAGAGAGAGAGAGAGAGAGAGAGAGAGAGAGGAAGAGAGAGAGTGAGAGGGTGTGAGCGTAAGCCAGAACCCTTGCCAAGCTGTAAGAGATACTTAAGACACTTAGACCTCTGCTATTGCTGTCTCAGTTACCTGCTTCATTTCAGTTGGAGTTATACTTTGTATCCAGGATGCACAGACCCTGCTTCAGTGGCTGAATAGTGTCCTCATGTTTAATAATTGTTTTTAGAGTATGTCCTGTTCCATAGCAGGTCCCAGGTGCTTCATCCCTAGGGTTACACATTTTTTTTCTAATGAGGTGTTTCCTGATCTTAACCCAGTCCATCTTCCTGAGTCTCACAGATATGACCAGAAGTAAATAGGCATAGGAAAGTGTGCCTTGATGGTCTCTCTTGGCCCATGACCACAGTGCAGAGGAGCTTGGCTGCTGCTGTATGGGTAGGGAGACAGAGGCATAAGTGAGTGGCTTCAGTGGGAAGTCCTGGAATCTTCCTGAGACAAAGATGAACATGAGGAGCAGAGGACCATGTGGGAGGATGGACTTGCTGAATGTAGGTGGACAGGGAAAGAGTGGACGGCGTGCCATGGGACATACACTAGAGACTGGACACCAGGCTTGGCAATGTAGACGTGATCTGGGACTTGCCACGAAGAGTGATTTGGGGCTAAGTGGAGGCTATGAGATGGCATGATGAATAGTAAAATCCAGCTTTGCCTACATGGTTATATATTTATATTAAAATGTGGAATTATATGAGTGAATTATGGAAAGGTAAACCTCAGTCTCCCTGAATGATCAACTTCTCTGAATAGGGCATGGCTGGTTCATGTTGCTCTTGATGGTGACATTTGCTTCCTGTCCAGTTTAATCAGGCTGTGTTTGTCTGCATGGATCCAGGGAAGGAGATATGTAGACATGTGTCAGTCTTTGGACTCTGTGGACCCTTAGTGCAGTGAGGCAACCACATCACTGATGGTCTTTCACTCTTTGTTGGTGCTAGGATTATGAGTCTTGGAAACTTTTTCCATAATCATGTTGCTAGATTATGTTTTCAATAAAAATGCTTACAGAACTAAATACTGCAGCCAGTTCTGGTCCCTTGGATATGGGTTGAAGGTGGTATTTCATGGAGCCCTAGGATTAGAGAAAGCCCTAATCTGAGCCGTCCTCATGGCACAGTCACCTGGAGAATCCTTGAGTCATTGACCTGCTGGCTGCTCTTGGCTAGGCCCCAATATGGAGATAGTTGGCCTTTCCTGGGGCTTCCTGTGCTTTGGAGACAGTGCGGCAAGCTGAAGAGTTGACCAGAGGCCCAGGGGCTGCGAGACAGTGGCAGACCCTGAACTAGAAGTCACCACACTCCCACCTACGTCCCTATAACCTTCCCTCAGACAGTCTAGAACATTGGACTGGCCACTTCCTTTCCTGCAAGGCTGCCCCAGGCACTGAGTAGGTGTGTGTTAGCCAGCTCATGGCTCCAGAACTCCAGGGCACCAAAACCTTGTGTGTGCAGGGCCGGGTGGGGAGGGTGGCAGGGACAATGAAAGAAAGACATTTGGGACCATGAGGAAATTTATTGGGCCTTTGATGTCAGGTAGTATTTTGGTACCACTGTTGATTTCTGCAGTAAGATAGTGATTTTCTGTTTATGAAAGGAAGAGCTCTTGTTAGGAGACTCATACAGTGTGTTTAGGAGTGAAGCATCATACGGTTATGGTTCTGCCAGAAACAAAATGTGTGCATGCACCTGTACAGGATACACTGTATCTGAAGACTATTTCTCAAAATAAAAGCTGGGATTAGAACCAAGTCTTGCCCTCTGGCAAGGCTCTCTGTGACCTGGTTGTAGCTGCGTTCTCCCTCAGGGCTTCCCCATCCATGTGCCTATCTTCCTGGCCCAACCTTGTAAGGCCTTCTTATGTCTTCTGTCTAGGGGTGAATCCTATGAAAATAAGGGTTTTCTCTTAAGTTGGATTTATAAGGGCATAATATGCAGATGGTAAAATTTATCCTTTTAGGGTACAGTCCAGTGAGTTCTGACAAATGTGTAGTTTTTTTGGTTTTGTTTTTTTTAATTTAAATTTGTACAGTTTTAATTTATAACCACGACTGTAGAGATTCCCTGGGGCCCTTATTGGGGTTGCTAGATTTAGCAAAGCAAAACATAATGAATATACATGTAGAAATATGTATATGAACATATATATTTTACATGTGTGTGTATAAAAATGTCGTGTTAAATTTGAATTTCAGAACAGCAACAAGTAACTTCTAGTACAATATGCCCTGCTCTGCTAGGTCCCCCCTAACCTAATTGTGGCAGCCACAATTATTTGCTCAATTAATCCACACATGGGGAGGTTCAGCCGCTCCTGGTCACTGGGCTTCAGCTCACGTTTTGAAGGATGAGAAAGTGAGAGGGAAGTGGAACTGAACCGAAAATGGCCAGTGTACAGTGGGTTAGTGCTCAGATCTCATGCCACATACAGCTATGGAGCTGAGGGTCAGTGCTCTGGAAAGGCCTAGTCCAGCCAAGCCATAGGCCTGCCAGTTTAGTTCCACACCCAACCCTGGTTGTGGATGTTGGCAGGCTTTCTGTGGTCAACCTTTGTATCAGTGATTGTGATTAAGCCACAGCTGGTTAACTTGCACTAACCTAAGGAGATCCTTTAATTTGTTGCTCAGAAACTTGCTTAGGAGTCCTCCAGTATAAACCTCTGATCCTGTCTTTTTTTGCTCTTACAGGCACTAGGAAGCTTTTATTTTCTTCATGAGTCCTTAAAAAACATCTACCAGTTTGACTTTAAAGGTAAGATTCTATACTGTCTTCTGATATCTTGATCTTGGTTCCCCTCCCCTCCACGGTTAGCTTCTTTGGATCTCTTCCACCCTGTGTCTTTGTGAGAGTGCCTATGTGGTCTTTGTTTGGTGTCACTTTTTGCAGTCATTAACACAGGGGCTTCCTGTGAAAATCTGCCTCTCTACTTTCTCCGAAATGGGGATGCATGGTAACCTGGCCCACTCTGCCTGACCCATACCACATGCTAAGCCTCTGCACCTCTTTTGCTCTAGGATGCCCAGCCTTTGGCTTTCTTGCAGAAGTTCAGGGGAGAGGGGATAGTTTTGTATCTATATTACTACCAGTGGTGAAAAGATGAAACAGAATGAGAAGATAGCATATAAACACTCATCATTTAATTTCCAAATTCCATTCCGGGGACTAGGTTGTTAAATGAATTGGTCTCTAAATGAAGAATTGTATGTACTAAGAACATTAAAATATTCAGAACAAAGAAATGGTCAAAGGAAACTCTAACTTGATGACTTTGCTTTTATTTGCATAACTCATATGCAGTACTGTAATATGTAACAACATAAAACTATAGTACTGTACTATACAGTACAATCAGGAAAAATTACAATGCTGTATAAACAAGGTGCATTGTACAAAAAAAGACCCTGAGACTCTATAAACAAATTGTACCGAATGGTCATAAGTCCAAACAGTTGTTAAACAGGTGGGTCATTAAATGGGAATATTTGTGTTTCAGAAACAAAAGTTGTTAAGAATACATTTTTGTGGCCATGAAAAATGCTGTTCCTCAGTTAAAGACCAGTGCTGTGGGTCTGCACTGTCTTCCCAGGGTGCTCCTGGTGAGACACTCTGTCCACTTGTTGACTCCATCCTTAGTCTTGATGAAATCTGTTACCCAGATGGGAAATGTTTCAGTGTGGACCCGCTGGTGTTCTGGGTATTTGTGTGTCTACTGTCCACTCTGTACCTTCTTTTACTTTGTATGTGAACCTTCCTGAGCTCCATGCAGGTCTGGAGCTAGCTCACATGAATTTGAAATGTCATTGAAGTTGTAATAACTATGGACAACAACTAATTAAGTCAGTTGGTTCAGATTCATTATTTTTTCTCACTTGGGAACCTCTTGAGCAGTCTTGTTTCCATTAGTTGAACAGTGATACCATTACCATCCTGATGATGGGCAGGGTCCTGGGAAGCAGAATAATTTTTCATTGCCTGTTGCCTTTGGGTTCCTTAGACACTTAAATACCAGCACTTGGCATTCCCACCAAGGAACTGGGCTAGAATGAGACAGCCAGGGTACTCTCCTACATCTCTATAGACACCAGTCAGCATTTTGCTGTGCCTTTACCAGCAGATGTTTAGGCACAGTATGTTCCAGGTGAGGCTGGGAACAGAAGGAGGATTAGCCTCTTGGAAATTTGTATGATAAGTATAGAAGAGTTTTGAATCTATAGAACTTTTTTTTTAAAAGAAATCATTTACACACATACATATTTTACTACTAAATGAAAACAACCGTAAAATGCCTGGTTAACCCATAGTTTATTTAAAACTACAGGTTAGATATACACTTCACTCTAGCAAAACCATACTCAGGGGCCTCCTCATAGTCAGCAAGGAACAGAGACAGGGCAGTAATGGACAATGAATCTGGATGTGTGTTCTGTGAGCACACATAGTGGCCTGGCAGGTGTTGTAGCTGACCCTCTGTGCAGCTGTGTAGTCTTCTGAGTCTCAGGCTGGGGTGGCCCGCCCTGCCCTCTTCTTCATGCCAGTTGCTCTTCTGGCTTAAATTGAGTTACAGCAGAGCAACTGAGAATTTGTGAAAAGTTTGAATAAAGTTTTACAAATAGCAGCCTGAATTTAAAAAGTAAGAATATTATAGGAAATTTAAGGAGTACACAGAGGTACAGATAATAAGATGAAAAGACGGGCTGAGGATTTAGCTCAGTGGTTCCTCCACCTGCCTCACAAGTGGAAGGTCCCAAGTTTGATTCCCGGTACCAAAAAAACAAAAAAGATGAAAAGACTTCTAGTTTCTAGCTCAACATGTAGAGTTTGGAAGACATGGCTGCCATTCTCACAAGAAGAAAACTAAACATTCAAATAGACAACTCATCTCAGATCCACAGGGCAAACTGCTGCTCTGAACAGACTGATGGGCTAAGGCCACCACTTCCCAGGATCAGGAACTGGCCTGGATCTAGCAGCTGGTAAAATGTTTGACAGGAATTGACAAGTGCTGGAGACCGAGTGGACTAGTCTGGAAGAAAAAAGCTCTTGAGAACTACATAATTATAAGATTTACCACTAGGAGCCCCATCCCACAGTGAAGGCCAGGGCATTCCCTTCTTCCCAGGGCCTTCCCTCAAGGGAACTATGTCATGTGGCCCAACCTGCTGGGCTCTAATCAAAGCCCACCTATCCAGGAAAAGAAGATGCCCAATTCCAACATCTCTGGCCTTCCTGACTCACTAAGGTGTTGTGAAGTTTTTAAGAATATACCTTCTAGTTTACTACTGGTTCTTTCCTCAGCCATGTCCAGTCCACTGAGAAACCTATCCAAGACATTTTTCATTTTTGTTATAGCGCTTTTGTTTTCTAGGGGGTTTTTTTTGTTTCTTTCTCAGAATTTGCACATCTCTACTCATATTACTATCCATTGTTGCAATTTATCCATTTTTTGCATTAGACCCCTTAACATATTACTCAGTTGTTTTATATTCCCAGCCTGATCATTCCAAGTGTGTACTATACCTGAGTCTAGGTTGGTTTGTCTCTTTACTTTGCATTTTTATCTTTTAGAATGCCTTGTAATTACATGTTCAAAGTACATTAATCATTAGGGGGAAGGAAAAAAAAACTAAGGTAGACACACCTTTAGTGTGAGGCTTCTTGTTCCTCCAGCTGGGGCCTGGGCAGTGTTTCCTGTCTGCTGTAGCTGAAGGTATCATACACCAGAATTTCCTCTGATATCCTTATTCTTATCCACTTAGTTGTTTGTGGATTTCCTTTGAGGCACCTTATTACACAGATTCTGACCTTTGCAGGTCTGTCAGTTGTGGTATCTTGTTATTACACTGGAAAGTGAAGAGAAATAAGAACTTTAAAAAAATGTCCAAGGGGACTGGGGATTTAGCTCAGTGGTTCTGGCGCCTGCCTTGCAAGCGCAAGGACCTGAGTTCGATCCCTGGTACAAAAAAAAAAAAAAAGAATGTTGCATAAAAAACTGTCCAAGAACTGTGGAACAACCACACAAAGTGGAGCATACTTATTGTGAGATACCAGAAGGAGAAAACAGAAGAATAAATACTTGATGCAATGTTGGCTGAGAATGTTCCAAAATTAATAACAGACACCAACCCAGTCACCATATACTGAAAACTCCAAGATCATCAGTAACAAGCAGGTTAAATGCCAAAAAATATTCACCTTGGCACATTGTATTTCCTATTCAGATGCAGAAAATCAGAGACAGAGACAAAGTCCTAAAAGAAGCTGGAGACTAGGGATAAGAAGTGAGGAAACATCTTTCCTACAATGGAACAAGAGTAGAAATTGCAATGGGTTCTCAGAAATCTTGCAAGAAGAAATTGATGTGAAATATTTAAAAACTGTCAAACAAAACTTGAGGGAATTTGTCACCAGGAGACCTTTGTGTGCAGTGCTACAGGTTAGCTTTTAACAGAAGGAAATGACACAAGACAGAAATATTTTTAAAATTTCTTGAGATTTCTTTGACCTATGTGTTCTATAGATGTGTGTTTGAAGATTTGAAGTATTCCAAGTATTTGAAGAGTTCCCAGCTATTTTCCTATTATTGATTTCTATTGTGATCTGAAATCACATTTCATATGGTTTCTCTTCTTTAAATTTATCAGTGTAGGGCCGGGGATTTAGCTCAGTGGAGCCACTGCCTGCCTTGCAAGCTCAAGGTTCTGAGTTCCATCACCAGTACCTACTAAATAAATAAATAAATAAATAAATAAATTTGTCAATGTATGTTCTAAGGCTTACAGTGTGAGCCATCTTAGTGTATGTTTCACTTATCCATAGCTATAGTCACTCAATATAGGTTTCTGTTATTTAAACATTATCTGTTCAATCAATTAAGAATAAGAAATTATTTTACTTCATTTTCATTTATCCTCCCACATGCTAACTAAATGAAAATATAGCTTAATGAAATTCATGGACTATTAACAAAAGCAATATTTAGAGGAAAATTTGTAGTATCAACTGCAAATTTTATAAAGTAAGAAAGTTCTAAAATCAGTAGTTTAAGGTTGTACCTTAAGAAAGTAGAAGAAAATCAAATGCAAAGTAAGCAGAAGAAGAGAAATATTCTAAAAAAGAATATAAATCAACAAAATTGAAAACAGAAAATCATTAGAGAAAATTAGCAAAACCAAAGTTGCTTCTTTGAAAAGATCAATAAAATTGATCAACAGGGGAAAGGAAAGAAGGGAAAGGAAAAAATGATGAGAAATGGAAAAAAATGGAAATAAAGTCTTTGTAAATAGGGAAGGGTGGAGGGCGTGAAGGGAGGGCTAGGAATGGGGAAAAAATAA